GTATGTTCATCACAAATCATACAGTGTTGAAAGCCAGGGAATAGCAGTGGGTTTTTAAGCGGAGTTAACTAATTCCAGAGTTTTGGGCCTGCGACAGAGAAGGCCCTGTCACCTCTGTGCTTAAGATGAGTTCCTAGAACTGAGAGAAGCAACTGGTCTGCTGACCTCAGAGAACACGGTGGGACATACGGCTGCAGCAGATCAGTGAGATGCAGAGCTGTCCAGTGATTTATAGACGTACAAGAGTATTTTGAACTGGATACGAATGTGGACCGGTAGCCAGTGAAGTGAGGCCAAAACAGGTGTAATGTGCTCTCTTTTGCCTGTACTGGTTAAAAATTGGGCTGCCGCATTTTGGACCAGTTGCAGTCGTACAATGGAGACTGATACCAAACAGGAGCGAATTGCAGTAATCGAGTCTGGATGTTATGAATGCATGTATTACTGTCTCCAGGTTAGATTTGGACAATATGGGCTTCAGTTTAGACAGCCAACCTCAGCTGGATAAAACAGGATTTAACAATCATGTTTACATGACTAAGTTTCAAGGAAGGATCCATTATCACTCCCAGATTAGTGACTCTTTGTTTCTCTAACGAGGCTAGAACAGAGAGGTCGATGCAGTGGTTGATGATTGTGTCGTTGGGAGGAAGCAACATGGCTTCAGACTTCTTCTCATTGAAACTTAAGAAATTTAAAGTTATCTAGTGTCTGATTTCAGCCAGGCAGTCAAGCAGAGGGTGAATAGAGTGTGTATCATTGTGTCTTAGGGGGAAGAAAATTTGACAGTCATCGGCATAGAAGTGAAAGAGTATGTTGTGTTTCCAGAAAATAGCACCAAGTGGCAGCAGGTATAAAGAAAATAGAAGGGGACCGAGGATGGACCCCTGTGGTACCCCCCCATTTAATTCAATTCAATTCAGTTTATTTATATAGCACCAAATCACAACAAAGTTGTCTCAAGGCACTTTACAGGAACATTCACATACATAGAAAAGCCTGTTAGTTAGGGTTGGCTTGTTATGCTGCTATAGGCTTAGACTACTAGAGGACAAATTGACCTCATTTCCTTAAATGAATAGTTTTCATTTGATACTGTTTCTATCTTAACATGTGATTCTTGACCTGCCATTGTGTATCTGTTCCTACCAAACCCAGCCGGTTGAAGCAGATGGTCCTCTTGTCCTGATCCTGGTTCTGCTAAAGGTTTCTTCCTCATGAGGGAGTTTTTCTTTCCACTGTCTCCTTCATGCTTGTGCAAGATGAGAGTTCTGTGATGGAGTTAAACTCAAAGCTGCTCCTCAGACAAAATTAAAATAAATAAATAAATAAATAGTGGTGGGTTCTGTGTGAGTCTGGAACATCTCAGTGGGGTGAGGTAGACGGGGCCTGCGCTCTTCCTGTGCACAGAGAATGTGCGAGCAGTGCGTGATTGCACGCGCAGCTTGGAGGGAACATTGTAAACAGTATAGTAATGGATTAATCTGCATTATGTAATTTTAACGAGTTAATCATTTTAGATTAATCACATGCGTTAACATGTTAACATTAACAGCTCTAATATTTATGTCTGTGTGCATGTATGTATATTTATATATTTATAAGTTATGTAAATATAATGTGTGTGTGTATATATATAGATAGGTAGGTAGGTCGGTAGGTCGGTTGGTCGGTCGGTCGATCGATTGAACTGGTCTGGTTGCCCACCGGGAATATTTTAAGGAGCTCCTTGGTGCTTATAACAAGGCAGTTAGTGATGCCAGGTCATGGTATTTTAACAATCTTATTCACCTGAACAAAAACAATCCTAAAGTGTTATTTGATACTATCAGCAGTATTGAATCTCCTCCAGTGCACCAGGCTTCATTAACCTCAAACAACGACTGTAACATGTTTCTCAAATTTTTCATAAAGAAGGTGATGGACCTGAAATCCAATATATCTCCAAGCGCCTCTATTTTTCAAGATTAGCCTCAGTGTTCCAAGTCATTTTCTTCTTTTGTTCCAATGACTTTTAATGACCTGACCTCATTAATTGCCAAAATGAAACTTTCTACTTGTTCACTGGAAATATAACCTCCCTCTTTGCTTGTCCAGACTCTAGCCTGTGCTGGTCCAACAGTGTTGATGAGATCCAGTCCCCCGTCACAAACAGAGTAATGTTGTGTATGTTGTTCAGTGTCAGGAGGGTGATCAGTCTTACATCAGTGAAACTAAACAGCCACTGGCCAAAAGGATGGACCAGCACAGGAGATCAACATCATCAGGCCAGGACTCTGTGGTCTACACTCATCTCCAGGCCAGCGGTCACTCTTTCAGGGATGAAGATGTTCACATCCTGGACAGAGAGGAACGATGGTTTGAGAGAGGAGTAAAGGAGGCCATCTTTGTGAAAAGAAATCGTCCATCATTAAACAGGGGTGGAGCCTCCAGGTTCAACTGTCCCCCTCTTACAATGCTGTGATTGCTAGTATCACTCAGCCCTCTGTGAACAGTAAACAGCCATCAGTGTGCTAATGATCCATTGTTAGGCTGATGGTCCTTCTTGAGCATGTGATCAGCTGGTTTTGGTTGTCAGCAGCAAAACTGGTTGATCCACTCTGAGAAGGTGCTATTTAAGAGACTGAGCTGAAAACAGCACCTCAGACTGAGGAAGTCTCTTGGATGAGACGAAACGTTTCTACATTTTTTTGCTGTTTTGTTTTTTTGAATGTCCAGAGGACCAGATTGAACTTTTTTGGAGTGTTGATGATAATGAACAACTCCCTGAACTAAGGGTTCGTCCCATCGTATTTTAAAACAGCAGAAGTGACCCCTCTCTTAAAGAAGCCTAACCTTGACTCTGGCTCCCTTTCCAACTTCCGCCCCGTCTCTAAACTGCCTTTTCTCAGTAAATTACTTGAAAAAGTTGTAGAAACCCAACTCAGATCCTGGTTCTATCAGTTACAGATCTCTGACCCCTCTCAGTCTGGTTTTCTAAAACACCATTCCACTGAACCTGCTCTGGTAAAAGTCCACAACGATCTGTTAATGGCTGCTGATGAAGGAAAATGCTCTGTGCTGGTCCTGTTAGATCTTAGTGCTGCCGTTGATACTGTCGACCACACAACCTTATTAAACAGACTGAAGGTTGTGGCTGGTATTTCTGGCTCAGCTTTGGACTGGCTCACATCATACCTGTCTCACAGAACTTTCTGCATCCAGACGGACAGGTTCTCCTCTGATTATGCCCCCTTAACTTGTGGGGTGCCACAAGGCTCAGTTCTGGGTCCACTTTTGTTTGCCTTTTATATTATCCCACTTGCCAGCATTATTCAATCCTTTTCTGATATTTCTTATCACATTTATGCTGATGACATTCAGTTGTATGTTTCATTTAAACCACACCAGCTGGATAAACTGTCCATCCTTGTCCAATGTTTGTCCCGTATCAGTGACTGGCTTGCCAGTAACTTCCTGGTTTTAAACACCAGTAAGACAGAGACTGTGATTACAGCTCCCAGTCATCTTCACCCAAAAATCAAACAGAAAATTACCTCTTTCTGCCCAGTAGCCAAATCAAAAGTAAAAAAACCTAGGAGTCACAGCTGACTCATCATTAGGCTTTGAGTCTCACATTAGAGATATTTCCTGTTCTTGTTTCTTTCATTTAAGAAACATTTCTAAAATACGACCTTTGGTCTCCAGAGTTGATCTAGAGAAAATTATTCACACTTTGTGTCATCACGTCTGGACGACTGTGATGTCCTTTTTACCTGCCTGGACAAGTCTTCTGTCTCACGTCTACAAGTGAAACAGAACGCAGCTGCCAGACTTCTCACCAAATCCTGTCACATCACCCCAGTCCTATTATATTCACTACACTGGCTCCCAGTTGAGTTTAGAATCTGTTTTAAAGTTCTTGTGCTGACGTACAGAGCTGTAAATGGTTCCTGTGCATCTTTATCAGCTTTTGACCAAACACTCTGCTGCTCGTGGCCTTCACTCCCAGTCACAGAACCTCTTGGATGTTCCACGTACACAGCTGGAAACTAAAGGGGACGGGGCCTTTCAGCCAGTGGCCCCCAGACTGTGGGGACGGGGCCTTTCAGCCAGTGGCCCCCAGGCTGTGGAGAC